GCCATTGATTTTCGACTCGTAGTGACCCCAAGTGACAGAGTAGAACTGCCCCATAGGGTTTTCTTGACTGTAATCTTTACAGGAGCAGATCACCAGGTCTTCCCCCATGAGTGGCTGGGTGGGTTCAAACTGCCAACCTTTCAGTTAGCAGCCGAGCGCGTAACCGTTTGCTCCAGGATTCTCAGTTGATTAAAACTCTCTTCAGTGAAAATTCTTAGACACTCTAATGGGCACAGCTAAATTACTCCATAAAAGCTTTACGAGAGTTTGCTCTGCAATTGGTGTGTGTAAGTTTCCTCAGAATCTCACAAATATTTGACATTATACAAATTTTTAGAGTTGTTTCCAGTGTGATAGTATGTCATTTTCATTTTTGTTTCTCTGATTAATGAATTTAGCATCTTTTTTTAAAGTATTTATTGGTGGTTTGCGTTTCCTCTTCTGTGAATCATTTGTATGTACAGTACCTACATTGCCCTTTTTTTTGGTCTCTTCTTTATTGAATGTTGTTCCTTAGTCTGTTTTACATGCTGCAGATATTTTCTCTTTGTTTGTCACTTATCTTTGTTTATGGTTTCTTTTGTACAAAACATTTTAATTTTGTTGTAGTCAAGTTCATCAATCTTCTCCTGGGCTTTTTACATTATGTGTTATAAAGTTAGTGCTGTATGAATCAGGGTCCTCTCAGGAAAGAGAAACTACTCAGTAACTTGAACAGGGAAAGTTTAATGTAAAGAATTATTAGCTGTAACAGGAGATCAGAGCACAAGGGATTGGCTATTAAGAAGTAAGAGAACTCTAGAAAATACCATAGGAATAGCATAGCAGGTATAAAGAACAGCCTCTCCCCCTAGGCTGAGATATGGCAACCAAGGAAGACCTCCCTCCTCTGCCTCCAAGGCTGAGATCCAGACCTTGTTGGAGAGGGTACTGCTTGTATCTCACTGGATGACAGAAAAACCGCATCCACCCTTCAGACTTGCAGGAAATCTCCCTCCAGGGTACATGGAGAAGTGATTACCAGAGGCAGTCTGCTGTGAACTTCCCACGGGATTGCTGTGTGAAGCTACTGGCCATTGGGTGCTGCTGGCTGCGATGCACTCTAGGAGCCTGACTCTGGAGCAGCCTAGTGCTGGAGCAGCAAGCAGCTCAGCTGCAGGACCCTGAAGCCACAGAAACCAGGAAGAAAAGCACCTCTCTCCAGCAATAACTCTTCAGAGCCCTCTACTGACAAAGTTTAACATTGCACCAGCTGACAAAGGAGAAATACTTAAAGGGCCCAAGTTTCTTTTCTGCAGAATAGACAATAAAAGGAGATTCAGAGTGAAGGAACAATAAATTGATAATCAGCACATTACTATACCTGTAATGTATTTTTGAGAATGATTTGAGATAAATTATTTTACAGTATTTTTTGAAAAGATGAAAATTGGGAACAATTTCCAAGTCAATCAATAAACGATGAAATAAACTGTGGTACTTCCATGTCACGGATTACTATGCAGCAAGAACGAGGTGCATGTATAGATATATATACTAATATTATTGTGTTCTGCTGTACATAAGGTCGCCATGAGTGGGAGCCAGCTCTGCAGCAGCTAACAATTAATATTATAAGATCTCTAAGCCATATTTTTAATGAAAATTTACATAAGATTTAACTCTATGAAACATATTCTGTATTATTATATGTACATATAGATGCATGTAAATGCATATAAACCTATATGGTGGGGTGCATATCAAATGGTGAAGAGTAATTTCCTTCGGTAAAAAGGATGTAAACATTCTTCAGTAAAGAATATAAGCAAAAACAAAAAAATTAAAAACTAAACCCAAAGATACTTATTATTCAAATATAATATACATAATAAAGCAAGCTTAATGGAATAGAGAACTAGAATGTTGAAGCTTTAGAGGGATCCAGGATTGAGAAATGTACAATTTAATGTGATCGTTCGTTCAGTATTAAAATGTCTAACCTGACTTCAAAGCATGAAAGAAACATCCTCAAGAACTATAAAAATTAAGAATTCCTTTCTCTAAATTCAATTAAAAAATGAATTTATATTGTTCTTTGAGTAGTTATAAGTAAGTTCATCAACTTGAGTTCATCAAATTGCTGTAGTCATGACTCTGAAAGGAGCTAGTATATCATGTGAATGCACTTTACAAGGATTAAGGCATCGTGTAAATGGAAAGTTGGAGTTTTATTAAATATGTATCGATATTGTTAACTGATAAAAACTAAGATTTGTAAAAAAAGAAAAGAAAAAAACCTAAGCTTTGCACCATAAAAAGGGTGTTTTTTTTTTGTTTTTTTTCTGCAAAGAAAGGAAGGGAAAAAAGTGAAATGGGAGAAAGCTTAAATGAATTATTTCAAGATTTTAAAAGTCTTGTAAAAAAAAAAGAAAAAGGAAAAAAAAGCAGTCCTGAGTACAGGCAGTCCCTGGGTTAGGAACGCCCAACCTACTAAGACAACTTGTACTTGCCCTTTAAGGTCACGTAAATTGCCCTCACTTTGAAAGGATTGAACCAACCCCTACTCAAAACAATTTCTTCATTCCATTCACCTTCACTTGCTGCATGTGCAGCTATTAAATAATTGAAAAGCCTTCAAGCCTTTTCTTGCCCTGAAGTAAGGCTAAGTAAGAACCTTATGCACCTGTTCCGACTTAAACCTACAAATTCTTAAAGACATACTCAGGAATGAATCTTGTTCGTAACCTAGGGACTATCTGTGTATCTAGAACATTGTTTCTTTAAGGGCATAAATCAGGCAGAACCTCAAGCCTATTTCTTTTCTGATGATGTGAACATATGATATTGGGAAATATGCCATAAGTTGAAATAAAAAGTACGAAGATATAAGACTTAAGTAGCATAAAAATCAGCATTGCAAAGAATCATATATTTAGAGCAAATAATCTATGTTAGACTTATGTAAGGAATACTGATTTAATTCTTTTTATTACCTGTGCCTTCATGAGGATAGAGAAAGTAAATTAGTAAAATCTATGATTCATGAAAATTTTTATTTAATTTGTAAGGATTAAAGCCCTGTATCACTAACTAAAGTTACTAGTATTTTTCAGGGAGAAAACTTAAAAATATAGAACCTTATGTTCTACAATTGGGCTTATTTCTAGATTTGAGTTGGAAAACTGATTTTTTCCCCCAGTTTTTGTTTTATCTATAATAATGCTTAGCTAATAGCAATTTTGACAAAAGTTAAGAAAAAAACTTACTGTCACTCCTGGATTTTTATGCTATGCTTTGTTGTTCTAATTTGATCCTACTGGCATTTCTTTTAAATTGATCAAAAAACCAAAGTGTTTGCTAATTAAAGATGCTAGATTAGTTCATTATATAGAATGAGATTTGAGTTATTCATAGAATTATGGAATTTTAAAGCAAGAAAGGAATTTAGCAATCAGTCTAATCCCTAAAAGTTTTCGATAAAGAAACTAAGGGCTAGAGGACTTAAACTTGACTGGCACTTTTAAAAAGAGATACTTCCACCTATTAGATTAGCAAAATTCTCAAATTTGCGATAACATACTATGTTGGTAAGGGTATAGAAAAATAAGCACACTTATACACTGCTGATAGAAGGAACTTGGCTGTGCCTGTCAAAATATCATATATGCTCTTTGACTCAGCAATTCTACTTTTAAGGATTTATGCTACCATATATATATTTGCGCACATGTGAAATACAGAATGATCTAGTTGTTGCAGTATTTTTTGAACTAGCAAAAATTGAAAACTTTAACTCTGATTAGAGAGTTTCTAATAATAATTTATGCTGAATCTCTAATTGGAATTCAACAGAGCTGTAAAAATGGATGAGGAAGCCCTTTAAGTTACCAGAGGGAAAGACTGGGGATTTAAAAAAAATAAACTCAACAAATACTGTACATAGTATGCTACTATTTTGTAGACAAGTGAGCAAACAAATGTATTTTATGCTTTTATGGTTGCTTTTTATGTGCAAAAAATCTTTTAATAACCAGAGTTGCCTACAGGGGTGGGGGACATCTGAGTGCCTGAAGGGACAAAGAGGGACTTTCCACTGTCTACTCTTTTATACTTGATTTTGATGACTGTATTACTTATACAGCTAGATAGATAGGAAGTCAGATGGGTAATTAGACACACTGACAAACTGAGACTTATTCAAAGGATGGTGAAAGATCTCCTAAGTTAGTAAATTAAAAGTAATAAAAATTTTTAAATGTTTAATCAAGGAAACAGGAGTCTTGGGGTAAACATGATAGCAGCATTCACAAACTGACGAACCGTCAGGTAGAAATCGATGGTCCTGTGTTTTTTCTGTCTGCAAGATCTAGTGCCTCAGTATAGGTAATGGCTTCCCAACAGCTGGAGCCATTCAGTAGTGGAGGAGCTGTCTCAGGACAAAATGTGTGCAGAGTGTGGTCCCATGGTGAGCACATGCGAGTCTAGGGTTCTCGACTCTGTTAGTGATGACCCGGAACTAGAACCTGGTCTTCTGAGCCCCATACCTGGGCTCTTCCTGCTTCCTTATGTGATTTCAGAATAATAGCTGGCATCTTACTTGTACTAATTCAGAGCATTCATACAAAATAAAAATTTTGAATACAATAAAAATAAACACATGGTCTGTTTGATCGGTATTTAAATTCACATGGTAAATTATCTGACAATAATATATCCAGAAGTATTCACCCTAATATTATAAGAATCTTTAGAATTAACAACCATTTGCAAACTCACACTTAGTATGCAAAAGCACATCATATAACATCTTAACTGTGTAAGAAGTGTCCCAGGTGATTTTTTTGTTCTATTGTAGCTAACCTATTTATAGATAACATAAAAATAAAAATAAAGCCTACCTTAGATCAAATTGACTCAAATTTCAAATTAGTAAAATTTTGTTACTTATAACTTCACAGAGTAAAAATTGTGTGTGTGTGTGTGTGTGTGTGTGTGTTATTTGTTTTTCTTTTAGGAAGTGATTGAAAACATAGTTAGAGTTGCTTGGATCATGTTTGAGCCCCTTCTTTTTGGACTGCTTGGAGCAGAGGTATCTGTTGCATCTCTCAGACCAGAAACTGTTGGTAAGAATTTCAAAGTACACTTTTGAACTAAAATCTTCTCTTTCTATATTCAGTTAAAATCTCTTTAGCAGGCATGTGTCCAGTGGTTTCCATTATCACAGTTATATAAAAAGTTAATTACATGTGTAGTCATGGTCTGAGTCTGTTAGACTAGTTGGTTAGAAGAGAATGCTGGTAAATACAAGGCAGTGAATTCTACACCTTTAATATTGTTGTGCCTTGTAAAGATGACACTACTGACCACTATCAAGAGATTACAGGCTTTAAACTTTTTCTGCCAATGGTAAGAATTTTTTTGTTCATCTAAACTTGTTCTCACTGAGGACCACAAGTTTAAAACAGCTAGTCACTTCTATAATATGTGCCCATGGAATAGAAATGTTTGTCGATTCATCCATTCTTTTATTCATCCATACATTCGAGTCATCATATTAATGCTCTCTTGATTCATAGCATGACACTTGAATATTAATTTGAACAAATACTTACAATTTCATCCTTTACTCCCATCACAATATTCGTCCATCCATACTAGGGACCCCATCCTCTGCCACCTCCTTCTGAATCTCAGACAAAGATCCTTCCATTTTGCTGATTTGTCTTCAAATACCCTTATCTCAGTTTCTTCCTCTTTATAATTTAAATAGACTCTAACTATTTCTATCTTAACAAATATATCCTTTCTCCATTTTCCTTCCCCCAATTTATCCTTCTTCCATTTTACCCCTGACCCCCCACCATACTACCTCTCTCTTCTTCTTTCAAACTTTTAGAAGAGATAACTACATTCCCTTTTTCCACTTCAACTCCCATTCACTTTCTTAATACATTTCAGTGCAGATTCTGCCTCATCACACAGCCAACCTTGCTCTCACCAAGGTTATATTGCTAAATCCAATGAATACTTTCCAGTCTTTTTTTTACTTGACCTCTCAGCAGCATTTGATGTTATTGACCTCTTCAAAACACTCTTATATGTTGAATTCTGAAACTTCATATTTTCCAGTGCCCTTCGTATTCTCCTTTACACTATACATGGTTGAAACGTTGCTCTTCATTAAAGATCTTTCCAAAGCACCTACTTTTTTCACTCTATATCACTTCTCAGAATTTCCAATGGCTTCGTTTATAAACTATGTAATTCCAAAATATTTATCTCTAAATTAAACTCAATATATCTAAAATTCACTCATCATCCTGTCCCCAAATCTGCCCCTCCTTCAGTGTTCCCATCTGGGAATGATGCCATCTCTTTTGTGTCTTGTACTTCAGGCAACATATGCTTTTGAATACCTACCAACCTGAAAGAAATACACTTCAACAAAGAGCCACAAAATCTTCCCATAAAGAAACCCTATTGCAGATTCACAACAGATCATCCAGCAATGTCTGTCTAGAGTTTTACTAGCCCTTTGAACTTGGAAAAGTTGTTTATCCTCTCTGAACTCCATTTTTTTTTCAACTGTAAAATGAGAATAATAGTAGCGGCTATGCCACAGGTTATGTGGGTTAACTACAATTGTCCATGTAAAGCTTAGCACAGTAACTGGAACAGAGTAAACTCTCAACAAATGTTACTGTTTTTTAAACTGTACTTTAGGTGAAGGTTTACAGAAAAAATAGTTTCTCATTAAACAGTCAGTACACATATTGTTTTATGACATTGGTTAACAACCCCACGACATGTCAACACTCTCCCTTCTCAACCTTGGAGGACCTTTTTTTTTTTTTATTAGTGAAAATATACATAGCCAAAGATACACCATTTCAAAAATTTCTACATGTACAATTCAGTGACATCAATTATGTTCTTCTAGTTGTGCTACTATTCTCACTTTAGCTGAAGGTTTACAGAACAAAATAGTTTCTCATTAAACAGTTAGTACCCATATTGCCCTATGACAATGGTTAACAACCCCACGACATGTCAACACTGTCCTGACTCAACCTTGGATTCCCTATCACCAGCTTTCCTGTCCCGTTCGTCCTTCTAGTCCTTGCCCCTGGACTGCTGTGCCTCATTAGTCCCGTTTTGTTTTATGGGGCTGTCCAATCGCTGGCCGAACGGTGAACCTCGGGAGTGACTTCACCACTGAACTAAAAGGGTGTTTGGGGGCCATACTCTCGGGGTTTCTCCAGTCTCTGTCAGGCTGTAAATCTGACCTTTTTTGGGTGTGTTAGAATTTTGTTCTACATCCTTCTCCAGCTCTGTCCAGTACCCTCTGTTGTGATCCCAGTCAGAGCAGTCAGTGGTGATAGCCAGGCACCATCTAGCTGTACTGGACTCAGTCTGGTGGAGGCATTGGTAGCTGTGGTCCATTAGTCCTTTGGAATAATCTTTCCCTTGTATCTTGTTTTCTTCATTCTCCCTTGCTCCCGAAGGGGTGAGACCAGTGGATTATCTTAGATGGTTGCTCACAGGCTTTTAAGACCCCAGATGCTACTCACCAGGGTATAAAGTAGAACATTGTCTTTATGAACTGTGTTACGCCAGTTGAGCTAGATGTTCCCCAAGACCATAGTCCCCACAGCCCTCTGCCCCGCAGTTCAGTCCCTCAGGGAGTTTGGATGTGTCTGTGGAGCTTCCATGACCTTTCCTTGTACAAGTTGTGCTGCCTTCCCCAGTATTGTGTACAGTCTTACCCTTCACCAAAGTTACCACTTATCTATTATTACTTGGTATCACCTTGCCTTCCTCACCATTAAAAGGTTCTATACCTACACCATTTATTCACTCTTCTATTGTTCTGATGTTGTTGTCGTTTACAGATTAACTGCTCTGATTCCCTGTTGTATTTCTTTTGGTTATGGATAGTCCTTGAGAGTTCATTTCCTAGATTGGTATCAGGCTGGTATGATCCTGCGTCCTAGATTCAGCCTGTGAGCTGATGTTGTTTGTTCTCAGATTGAAGGACTCCCTTTAATAATTCTAGTAAGTTTGGTTTTTATATATTCCCTTAATTTCTGTTTATCTGGAAATGTCCTAATTTCACCATCATATTTGAACGAGAGTTTTGCAGGATATATTATTCTTGGCTGGCAATTTTTTTCTTTCAAAGTTTTATATATGTCATCCCATTTCCTTCTTGCCTGCAAAGTTTCTGCCAAATTATCTGAGCTTTTTCCTCTGTATGTGACTTTTTGTTTTTCTCTAGCTGCTCTCAGGATTCTTTGTCTTTGGTTTTGGCAAGTGTGATTATTATATGCCTTGGTGATTTTCTTCTGGAGTCTATCTTATATGCCGTTCTTTCAGCTTCTTGGATGGACAGCTTTTCACCTTTCATGATATTGGGGAAGTTTTCTGTCAGCAGTTCTTCAATGATCCTCTCTGTGTTTCTATTTTCTCACCCTGTTCTTGAACTCCGATCACTCGCATATCTTTGCTTTCGATTGTATCCCACATAATTCTTAGGGTCTCTTCATTTTTATTTGTTCTTCTTTCTGATTTTTCCTCAAACAGAGTTGTATCCAAGGGTTTGTCTTCAATTTCGCTGATCCTGTCTTCTACTGTTTCAAACCTGCTCCTCAGCCCTTCTATGACACTGTCAATTTCTGAAATCTTGTTCTTTATCTTTCGATTTCTAATTGTTGTTTTTGTATGATTTCTAGTTGTGAATTTATTTTGGCATTTTGTTCCTGCATTATTTTCCTGAATTCTTCCATTTTTTTGTCTGCCTATTCCATGAATTTGTCTATTTTTTCCTCATTTTTGTCTGCTTTTTGCTTCAACTCTTGCATAGCTCTGAATATTAGAGATTTGAATTCCCTATCAGGGCGTTCTAGTGCCTTTTCTTCTACTGGAAAGTCATCTGTTTTATTTTGGATGCCTACTGGGACCATCCTGTCCAGTTTTTGTAAAGGTTTTGATATTGTCTGCTGTCTTCAGGGCATTCGGTAGCTATTTTTCTCATTTATTGGTTGTAGATTTGTTTGTTTCATCTTTTTTTTTTTTTTTTTTGCTTAATTTGGTTATGTCTGAGGAGGTGGGCTGTGCGTTCTTTGCTGTTTGCTGGTCTGTGGGCACGATACTTTTCACCTCCTTCACCAATTGGCAGGTCAGTCGCTCAGACATGGTACAGCAGGGCAGGTCTAGCTGAGGAGGAGTTGCTGGGATGGATTGTTTGTGGCACTTACTACGGGCACCAGGGCGGGCTTGTAATCAGTGCAGGGCAGGTTCCGGGAGGTCGTGCCTGGGCTTCTTGGTGGTGTGATGTTCAGGACACGGTGCAGGTAGGCAGGATGGAGGGGGGAGATTGTGATGTGGGGAGCTAAGATGGGTATGGGAGAGAGGAGAGAAGAACGGGCCAAAAACATACAGACAAACAAAAAAGAGTGCTAGGGGAGCTTGCCATTGGAGTGGAGAGATGAGACACTATGAAATGGAGAAAAACAAAAAGGAGAAGAAGAAAAAAATGAATAAATAAAAATTAGAAAGAAAAGCAAAGCTCCCAGGGATCCCACCGGTATGGCTATGAGGTCTGGGGAAGTTGCTCTCAGACCATGAAGTACAGCCAGTGCCAGGTATTCAGGGTACAGAAAGAGAAGGAAAGTATAGAGTGATGAGAAACTCAGTAATGAAGAAAGACAAAAAGGGAAAAAGAGGGAAAAGAAAACAAAACAAACAAATTTTAAAAAGAACAAGAAAAATCCCACAAAAAACAAGAAAGAAAAAAGAAATGCTCTCAGGGATCTCTCTGCATGGCTGCGCAAACTGAGGGGGTATGTCCCAAACCTCACAGTGCTGCCCAGCTAGAAAGGGCTCACAATTCGAGAAAAGAAAAAGAAAACAAACAAACAATTCAAAACAAACAAACAAAAGCCCTGGGATCCCACCAGCGTGGCAGCATGGGCCAGGAAGCAGTGTCACATTTGAGTGGCGTTTCACAGCCTTTCAGGAAGAAGCAAAGATGGCGCATGGAGCCAGGTATTTGAGAGAAAGGAGGGGGAGGTGGTGAGAGGTAAAGAAGAAATCTAAAGAGCGGAAAAAAGCAACACCAGCAGCCAACAAACGGCACTTAGGGAGCCAGCCAGTGCAGGTGTGTGGAATCCATGCGACAGTGGGGTGAAGCCGGTGCTTCCCAGCCAAGAGACTGGCCGTAGGAAGCAGAGGAGGCCAAGTTGGGGTGAAGAAGGGTGGGGGGTAGGAAAGCATATATTGCTGGTTACCTGTTGTTCTGTCTCCTGCTGGAAGCTCCATGAAGCTTTTTCTCGTACCCCTGTTTGCTGGTCTCTGATAGGGGTCCAAGATGGCAGATCTGTGCTGTGTTAGCTGATAGGGGACCTCTGCATGTATGTCTCCTTGCTCTCTGTTCTCTGTCAGTTTCTTATTCCATTCGGTGCTTGGCTGAGTTCTTTATCTCTTCATTTGATGCTTAGGGTTTCAGGATTGCTGTTTTCTCTATTTGGCTTAGTTTTTTGGATCTTTGCTGTGGAGGAACGGTGTGGTGCTTCTGCCTATAGCGCCATGTTGCCTGGAAGTCTCAACAAATGTTACTTTTAAAAAAAGAAAAATCACCTTATTACTCAATAGTCCCCTTAGCTGTACCTTTATCAGGTTCAGTAGCCTACAGCTGCCCTCATCAAAATCTCTAGCTTTACAAATCAGGGTGAAATTTTCGTCATCAATAAAGGGTTCTAAACAACTGAATTAAGTAGCTGTATGTCATTTAGGGTTAACACGCTGTTAGTATACACCAATATGGCGAAACAGTTGTGTACTGCCATTGCCCATTCTCATTGGTGATTGCATAGCCAGCTCCATTCTGATTGGCTGATAAATATTTTTAATACCACCTCTGGTCTTTTATTCTATAATGAATTCTAGACCTCCTTGGTCAAAATGTTAATTTTTCCCTTTTCTACACCTTCTTATTGGTTTGTTTATATTGCAGTTATCACACAGTATGTGAATTCATTGTTTATATTTTTGTCTTCCTCTGACTTTGATGCTCATAAAGGCAGAGTCTGTACATTATACATCTTTATGTACCTAGCGATCAGTTCAAAGCCTGTCATGCATAATTATCACTTAATAAATCCTTGTTAAATAAACACATGGAAGAAAGTGCAGTTCTTGGTATAAAATATAAGAGATATAACATTCATATCTCCTTCATAGAAATTCAAATATGTTTAATTAATTTCTAGTTTTAATCTAGGGAAACATCTTATTTTAAACAAGTAATCTGATTGGTCTTTAATATTGATTTTTTGATAAATTATGCATAATAATTTTTGTATTTTTAATTTTTTAATGTTCCTTACTGATTTCTTTTGATCTTGTTTTGAATCAGTAACCATGAAATGCAATTTTTCTCCCAGTGTTTCATTATTTATAAAAATTGACTTTTTCTTATAGGCCTTTGTGTTGCCACCCTGGGCATTGCAGTATTGATACGAATTTTGACTACGTTTCTGATGGTGTGTTTTGCTGGTTTTAACATAGAAGAAAAGATATTTATTTCTTTCGCATGGCTTCCTAAGGCCACAATCCAGGTAATGATGGATAGGATGGCTTAGCCTTTTAACTTCTATTTCTGTATGATACCTTGAAATATTGAATGAGAGAGCTTATCCAAGTTTGGTGAAAATAAGTGATCGAAGTTTGATTTATGAAAATAGTTTATATTAATCTATTCTTCAAAAGTTTTATCTTTAGTATATTGATCCCTTAAAACGTGATGACTTACTTTTTTTTTTTAGATCGCTAGGTTACAACTCAAAATCTAATAAATCCCTGTACTACTAGAAAGCAGTAGTAGCAGGAGAGAAGGGTTTGAATTATTACCAGTCACAGCTCTCTAAATAATCCAGAGAGATAGTTCTACTTTTCATTTCACTGTCTGGAGAAGAGAGTGAAACAGATACAGCATGGCCCATTTTAGTGATTGAAAATACTTCAATATCAATATAATTAATGTTAATTTTATATATAATGGAGAAAAGAACATTTATTGAAAACAGAAAATGCTTTATTGATTTTCTAGATTATTAGTTGATTTCAAATTATTTAAACAAGCTTAACCTCCTGCCAAGTGTTGCATCCACTCGACTTGACATTTGTGTACTCTAATGAGCAAGTGATGATGAAAGCACTTAGAGATAGGTGCTTGAAATTGTTGATCATGCATTTGTTAGAATACCTCTGATGGCTAACTAAATTGGAACTGTATAGACTATGATTTGCGACAAATGTAATATACTCCTGATTGCATTGTATTGTGCATTTTGAGACTAATTGTAACAAACAAGATTTAACTGTTCATCCCATATTTTTCTGCAGTTATTTAAGTATATAAATTTCTATTTTTATAGAATTAAAAATCAGTTGTTGTTAATTTTCTCAGACTGGTTAAGAGCTTGGCTGCTAACCAAACGGTCAGCAGTTCGAATCTACCAGCCACTCCTTGGAAACCCTATGGGGCAGTTCTACTATGTCCTATAGGGTCACTATAAGTTGGAATCAGCTCAATGGTAAAGGGTTTTTTTGTTTTGTTTTGTTTTGTTTTGGAGAATGTGTATGCTCTATAGTTATATACCAGACTTTGTGTGGCTGTAGGCATGGACATTATTCCAGAGAAATTTCTCCTTTTTCCATCAGATTTTCAAAGATGTCTGAGACATAATTGTTAAGAGAACTATGAGATTAATGTAGTACAATAAAGGGAATAGTTTTTCCCTCAGTGTTTCTAGCTTTCACATGACTTCTTGTAACTTCAGCAGGTAAATATCAAAACAATGATTCTAGTAGCTTTGGTATTATCAATGTTAAAATTTGAAAAATGACAGTTTGCTACCATGAAGGTATATTGTAAAATAAGGAAAAATATCCAGGATATATTGGATAATATTTGTTCTGTTTTGTGCTAAAATTTTTTTTTCTCCTTTTGCCACTGCACAAGGAACAAGACTTTCTTATATATATTTTTCTATATCAATATTTTTCAAACTTATTATTCTGTGGCCTACAATAAGAAATATATTTTCCATGAGAACCCAGCTGTCTTAGTTATCTAGTGCTACTATAACTGAAATACCACAAGTGGGTGGTTTTAACAAACAGAAATTTATTTTCTCACTCTTTAGCAAACTAGAAGTCTGTATTCAGGATGCTGGCTCCAGGGGAAGCTCTGTCTTTCTGTTGGCTCTGAGGGAAGGTCCTTGTGTCTTTTCAACTTCTGTTATTTGGTTCCTTGGAGATCTCATGTGACGTGACATCTGTCTTCCCCAAACTGCGCTTGCTTCATCTGCTCTTTTATTTCTCAAAAGAGATATAAGACACATCTTACACTCTTACTGCCTCATTAAGATAACAAAGAAAACTCATTCGCAAATGGGATTATAACCTCTATAGGGGTTAGGATTTACAACATATATTTTTGGGGGACACAATTTAATCCAAAACAGCTAATATACAAAACCCAAACATATACATACACGTACATGTATACCTGCAGAGAGAACTGAAAATCTATTTTGCAGTGTGTACAGTTCTTTCCAAGAATCCATGAAATGTTGAATTAGTTCGGGTACAGGGTAAGCTGCAATAACAAACAGCCCCCAAATACAGGGACTAAATGAGATTTTTCTCTCTCTCTCACCAGTAGCTCAGCGTAGGCATTTCAGAGCTGGCAGGGTAAATGCCATCCTCAGCGTGTGCCTTCCATCCATGGGTCCAAGGTAACAATTCCGACTCTCACAATTTCCCATCCAGTGGAAAGGGGGAAAAGATAAAGTTCATGCTTGTCCATTCCTTTTCAGAGCACAATCTGCAAGTTGCACTTATCATTTCTGCTCACCTCTCAGAGGCCAGAATTTAGGTACATAGTTACACCTAGTTGCAAACGAGACTGAACAAAAAGTTACTACTCGGCCAGCTCTATGACCAGCTCAAACTCAGGAGGTCTGTTATAGAAGAGGAACATTCAGGTATTTGTGAGCAACTACTAGTCTCTGCCATTGTGTCTGGTGTACTCGATATTTTCTTATCTGTTTGATTGGCTTAGAGGCTGTGTTGTGCTCTGTGGGATAAACAGACAATCACATCTATTGATACATTTTTCCCATGTGAATTGATAATACTGCACTTTGCCTCTAAAAGAAAATGGGAATTTTCATACTTAGATAAATTCTAAATAAACATTTCACCAACTCCTGAAGCACGAGTTACCAAATACCTAATCAGAACACCAAGTTCCTGAAGGTACCCGCCACTTTCATATTTCAAGATGATTAATAATTAGTTTAGCCTCTAAAGCAGTACATACTCTTACATTTTTAGCCCAAATCTAAACTTTACCATCTTCTGATAAGTATCACTGCATTTTTTCCTCTTATTTTTTCTTAATTCCAAATTTCTAAAGAAAAAAAATGAGGCAGCCAGTAACATTTATCTCTATTCAGGAGAAATTTAGTATACAGAACTTCATGGTATGTTGTAATTGATATTGTGAGTCTTTATCTGCCTAGTGTTATGAAATTCATTTGCCAGACATTTATGTAATCCTGCCTTATTCATGTAAGTGCATATGAAGCATCAGTCTGTCAGATAATCAAAACCAACTGCAGTACACTTTTAAAAAAGTCTAAATAGAACTTTATTAGTTGAAAAAAAGAACAAGCTTTTTTTTTTTTTTTTTTGTAAATGATTAATTCACCTTTTTTGTATGTGCTTGTCTTACCGTATTTCCTACTTTACCCATCAACTTTTATAGGCTGCATTAGGATCTGTGGCTTTGGACACAGCAAGATTATATGGAGAGACATTGCTGGAAGACTATGGACTGGATGTGTTGACAGTGGCATTTTTGGCCATTCTCATTACAGCCCCAACTGGACATCTGCTTATTGGTTTGCTGGGCCCCAGGCTTCTCCAGAAAGCTGAACATCAAGATAAAGATGAAAACGTTCAAGGAGAGCCTTCTGAACAAGTTTCGAGGTGAAAAGAGACAATGCTGAATATGATAAATAGAACACTGCTACCAGAGGCTACTTTATCAAGATGGAAGTTGAAATATGTACTGTTCAAGCTTAAAATGCAATAGAACCATAATTGTAGCTATTTCTTTAAGATGGTGGTAATATTCTACATCTCCAATCCTGATTTCTCTACCTTCTTCTTTTTTTTTTCCCCCAAACTCTCCTTCATCATATGTCTTTATTTTTACTGGGACATAATCTACTTTAGTGTGCTACCATAATTTGAAATTAACATGAGAAAGAATGAGTTCAGTTACCAGCCAACAGCTTGCCCTAACTTTCAGTTACTGTCACAGTTTCACGATTCACAGTCACTTAGACTCTCATCCTTTGAATTGGTTTTCGTGCCTCTTTTTTTTTTTTTTTAAGCACCATAATGCAGTCCCTCATCAATTCCTACCCACTTTTTCCTTGCTATTCTGCCTCTTCTCTATTTCTATTTCACTTACTACTTTTCTCAGACTTATTGTAACTGATTAGTCCTTTCCAAATTTTTAAAGTACACAAGAATTTACATTGGTTTTTCCTCTTGCCCCATGTAGACGTCAGAAGACCTTATCCTATTCCCTAACTGACTAGCCAGAGTCCTCCATTTCAGTGGCCCATCTCAGTCCACCTTCCCCAGAGAGTGTCCTAATCCAGCTCTTTTTTATTATTTTTCTTATGACTCATGTCTTTAGGGCCTTCCTGTTCCCAAATGAGAGATAGCTAACTTTCAAATCTATGTCATGCTCATGACTATTATATTAATTAGGGTAAAGGTAATATACTATAATGAAGAGACAAAACATACAGTACATAAGAGAAAATAGAAATGTATTTCTTCCTGATGAAACTGTCTGACTGGTTGATGGTGACAGAGTTGTTCTGCTCATGAGTTCATTCAGAGACTCATGACCTTCCATCATGAGACTCTGTCATGCCCTAGCTTAGGACATTGGTTCAAGTTCAGTCTCTACCATGCCTCTTTCCTAGCCCTCGGGAAGAAGGAAAAGAGAAAGTCAAAGGCAAGCAATTTATTTTTAAGGAAGTGTCTTACTTTTCTAGTGCTTCTATAACAGAAATACCACAAGTGGATGGCTTTAACAAAGAGAAATTGATTCTATCACAGCCTAGTAACCTAGAAGTCCAAATTCAGGGTGCCAGCTCCAGGGGAAGACTCTCTTTCTCTGTGGGCTCTGGAGGAAGTTTCTTTGTCATCAGTATTCCCCTGGTCTAGGAGCTTTTCAGCACACTCCTGGCTCTCCTTTCTTGGTGGTAGGAGGTCCCCATGTCTCTCTGCTGGCTTCTCTCTTTTATATCTCAAAGGAGATTGATTTAAGACACAACCTAATCTTGCAGATTGATTCCTGCCTCATTAACATAACTGTCCCTAATCCCACCTCATTAACATCATAGAGGTAGGATTTACAACACTTAGGAAAATCACATCAGATGACAAAATGGTGGACAATCACACAATACTGGGAATCATGGCCTAGCCAAGTTGACGCATATTTTTTGGGGAGGACGTAATTCAATCCATAACAGGAAGTGATATAGAGATTGGCAAATCTCTCCTCTTACATTGCATTGGTGATGGCCACATCTAGCTGTGAGAAGGCTGAGAAGTATCGTCTCTTGCTAAGCATCCTCATTCCTAGGAGGAACAAAAGATTAGATTTGAGAGCCAGAGCTACCGCTGTGTTGGATGTTACCATCACTTAGTAATACGTTCCTGCATGTTAACAAGGGCCTTCTGAAGATAGTACCTTAAACCAAAGGAGTGAGTTCTGTGGCAGGAATTTCAGACCTTGTGACAAGCCAGCAGAGAAGTATTAGAAGAAAGGTTTATCTACATGCGTCACATCCTATCCCACTTACACAAAAGGCCCTATCTGGATTCATGCATCACCCATAGTTTGTCTCCACTCTAGGTCATCCCCTACCTAGTTGCAAGAATAATGACATTCAGATACAACTTATATCATGTGCTATGTATAGCTGAAGTATTTATTTATATCACATCTGAACTTTTTAACCCAGAATTCATAATTCAATCTAAACTTGATGTTAAATGAGTGAGTGATGACTATTCTAATCCCCCCAAGCTGATTTGCATAAAGCTTGTCTACTCCTGTCATTTCATTAGACTACTAGGCCGCCATTTCTACCACGGCCTTCACTTCTATTCAGAAGTTTGAATAGCTTACTATTCACCACTTCTAAACAGGTTTTCTTTTTATGATGTTAGCCGGACTCAGTACTTTATGGTATTATGTTCCCTTAGTATTTATGTTCTCAGTTGGAACTGGATTAATTTCTACCAAAGGTCAGATGGACATTTCAAAATGAACTTCCTTGGTTCAGTTTCCTTGGTAGGGGCTCCATAAACTTAATGTTGATCTGGTCCTCTATTTTTGTAGGCTCTAAAACTATATTCATTCAACAACTACTTACTGAAAGCCTTTGGTGATCCAGGCACATCATCAAGACTAATATTTGTTCCTCTCCCTAAGGATCTGACAATCAACTACAGGAAACAGACAAAAGATTGCAAAACAGTATGATAAGTGCTGTTCTGTAGGAAGTACAGGGGCCCTAGGGACCTCATAGCAGGGGCACCCAAGGGTGGTCCAGTTGGGCACAGCTCCCCAGAGAAAGTAGGGCCTTGGCTGAGACCTGAGAGGTGATTAGGATTTAGCTAGTAAAAGGGGTATGGGGCAGAAGAGTACTGTAATTACTATATTCCCCATGTGACCA